GCCCTTCCCCCACACACCTGAGATTTTTCAGGATGTGTTCTCTCTCTGTGAAGGCTTCAGTACCTCTATAATCTGAGTGGGACTGTCCTCTCCCCAGGTTGAACTAAGGCCCAGCGAGCGTGTGTGTGTGTGTGTGTGTGTGTGTGTGTGTGTGTGTGTGTGTGTGTGTGTGTGTGTGTGCGTGTGCACACATGGAGGCCAGAGGTCGATATCAGGTGTCTTAATCACCTCTCCAGTTTATTTTTTATCTTTTAAAATTGTGCATATGAAGGTTTTGTCTGCTACATGTGTGTGCACTGCATGTGTGCCTGGCACCAGCAGAGTTCAGTTAGGGTCATCGGACCCCCAGAATAGAGTTATAGATGGTTGTAGCCGCCATGTAGGTGCTGGGAAACTGGGTCCTCTAAAGAGAACAAGTGCTCTTAACCACTGAACTATCCTTCCAGCCCCTACTTCTTCAGTTTGAGACAGGGTTTCTCTGTGCAGCCCTGGCTGTCCTGGAACTCACTCTGTAGACCAGGCTAGCCTCAAACATAGAGATCCATCTGCCTCTGCCTCCCTAGTGCTGGGATTAATGGCCACCAGGCCTGGCAGCCACCTTATTTTTTGAGATGAGATCTCACACCAAACCTGCAGCTCTCCAGTTTGGCTAGTCTGGCTGGCCAGAACGCCCCAGGGACCCACTGCCTCTGCTTCCCCAGGGGTTGGGATTACAGGCCATCCCTGAAGCAGGCAAGGCTGGGCTCACCCTGTTCAGCCCCTTCCATTGACCACTCAGGGCCGCCATAAACCAGGCCTAGCATCCCTGCCCTCTAGTCAGCCATTCCTGCCCTCTCCTGCCCTGTCTCCGAGGGCATTCCCTGAGCAGGTCCTCTTCAAGCTCCCCAAGGCTAAGCCAAACCTCTGCCCTGCTCATGATCATTTCCTGGGCACCCCAACTTATGCCTCTCCCAGCCCAATGCAGAAACCCCCTTACCCTTCCACAAGGACTCCTGTTATTAGCAATCCATGTTGACTATACAATGAATAAGATCCATCGTGGTATTTCAGTGTGCGCGTGTGGAGGACCTAATTCACGCTCACCCTTCCCAGGCTCGCCATCGCTCTTGTACTTTCAGGTCAACCAACCTTGTTTTAGGTTTCATAGGAGAGAACATAATGTCTATTTGTGGTGCTGGGACTCAAACCCAGGTCCTTGTAAATATTATGTTCTTGCTGTATCATTACTGAGCTGTACCCCCTCACCTCCAGCCCAGAGGGCTCATTTTTCAGCATAATTTTTCCTCTACCCGTAACCATGAAGCACTCATTAGACCGTTAGTATCTGTTGATTGAGAAACAAATGATGACAAAAACCTCCAGGAATCCGACAAACGCCTTTAAATGAATTTGTGCACCGGTAATTATAGTGCTTATGCGTGCTTGGGAAATGGCCAGGCTCCCCGGGAACCTACCCAGATCATGCTGGGTGTGGGGAGGGTCTTGGAGAGTCCTGGGATTCTCACTGCTGATGGAGCCCAGTTGTCCCTACCCCATTTCAGAACAGGGAGTGTCCCCCAACCCAGCAGAGGCGGGCTGGCTGCCATTCAGCCTTGTAGGGCTGCAGGGTAGGGCTTGTCCTGATGTGGCCGGCCCATGGCCTTACTCACTACTGGCCCCACGGCCGCACCCCAGAGGCCCAAGTTAGCCCCGAGGCTGCTGGAGTGAGGCCCAGTGCCGCTTCATTCATGATGTGACCCGGCCAGAGGGCAGGAGGGAGCAGGGCGGGCCACCTGTCCGCCTTCTGGGGCAAGGGGCAGCTCTCTGCTGAGCCCCTTCCTTCTGGGGGTGCCTCCTCAACTCCTGTCTGCTCCTGTAGCTTTGCCGTTCCGACCTCCCCAAGGGCGCAGGAGAAGGGGAAGGCGAGGAATGAGGACTGTGGGGCTTCAGGAAGAGGTGTGGGCTAGAGAAACACTGTCTTTCCAAAGCAGCTAAGGGTCTCCCGAAGGTGTGTCAGAATGGGGGTGTCCCCTCAGGCAGCACCTCACTTGCCTTCCCAGCATCCCAGCCGACACAGTCATCTAGAGAGTCGCTGGTAGGCTGATGTCCGTGTGGAGACTCCACAGAGCAGTCTTGCATGCTCTGTCCTCTGAGCCTTGTGACAGGGCCATGGCAGTACGCAGTACAACAAACCCCTGTCTATTGCCAGCTCATCCTCAGCCTCAGTGAGCTGGAGTGTGTGTGGGGGGGGGGGGGGGGGGGGGGGGGGGGTGTTCGTGACAGATCCTGGGCTTCTGACTCACAGGAAGAAGAGCAGGGTCTGTGGGCCTAGATACAAGGCCCAGACAGCTAGAGCTATTTATCTGGGGCTTCAGGAGAGGGGTGGGAGGATGAGGCCACCTCTACCTCAGACTCACAGGGTTGCAGGCCACACATCAAAGGGAGTGAAAGGAAAAAACTTCAGACTCCCTGGGAACCAAGGTCCCACCTCTGAGGAGCAGAGCCCACTCTGTAGCTGACTCCCCCCACCCCCCCACCCCTCTCACCCCTCCCACCCCTCCCACCCCTCCCACCCCTCCCACCCCACCCCCCACACCGCTCTCCTGCCACTCTCCCCAGCTGCCTCAGAACTGTAGACTGCACAGCCTAGGAACAGGAATACCTCGAGAGGTTACCTGGCCTAGAACCTAAGGCCTGCAAGAGCGAGTCCCTCACTTTACCCGGCCACCAAGTGCAGTGTTCTTAAAGACAGGCTGGCTACCCAGCAGATTGGCCCTCAACCCAGACTCAGGGCCGAGGCTCTGCCCCAGAGTGCAGGGACCACTCTACTCCTGGAGAAGATGTAGCCAGGCCTGAGCATCTCACCTCAGGAAAGGAACAGCAGGTGGAGGCAGGAAAGAGTCTCTACAGACAGAGACTCACCCTCAAATGGTGCTGGCCGCCTGGCCAGGAAGCTCTCAGTAGGCCCTGCCTGTCCCCTCGTGACAGATTCTACAGAGGTGGAGGAGTGGTCCAATCACCCCACCAGGACAGGCACATTCACCCAGAGAGGGGCAGGGACCATGATCAAGTTTGTCTCGGAACCACCTGCATCTTACAGGCGACTCTGGCCGAGCTCAGCCTCTTTTGGGGGGCACTCAGTTTCCTTCTGATGTTAACAATTCCGACTTCCCAGCAAGCTCAGAGCTGGTGAGCACAGGCTAGACTACCAGGCCTTAGTTCAAATCCCTGCTCTTCTCATCCCAGCTGGTACACACAGGAAAGACCCTTGACCTCTCTGTGCCTCAGCTCCTCAGCTGGAAAGCGGGCTGCTAGCACCAGTTACCTCGTAAGGTAGTTGTGAGGTTTAAACAGTCCATCTAAGGGATCCAAAATGTCACGTGGCATACAGCAAGGGCCACGTGTGTGGCAGTACGAGGAACAACGTGGAACCAGGCAGTGTGTGTTGGCAGACTTGAACTGGCATCTGAGAGCCATGCCCGGCAAGTGTGGGGCTGGGCCCAGGGAGACGAGCGTGAGACAGGCGCTTAGCCTCCTTCCAGGACGGGCTATAAATGAACTTTACAGCTGTACCTCTAGTTACCACAAGTGCCACTGCCTGGGGAAAGGTGAATCACCACAGGCTGACGTGAAAGTTATGGGGGCTGTACTATCCTGGCCCATGTGGTCTGTGGCCCCCTTCCCTTAGCTGTCCACACATATCCCCAGCTTCTCTAGGATCCTGAAAGCCATCCCACAATACCCCCCCCCCCCCACACACACACCAGTGGCCTCTCTCCACCTCAGGATAGAGATTTGGAAAGAGCCCTCTGGGGTTACTGGCCTATCCTCTTGCTTCAGGCTTTTGCCCTTCACTCCCACAATGCCTCACCAGCCACCTCAACACCCCAGGCAAATGTCCGGGTGCCAGGCAGAGCCCATGTCCCATCCCCCTCCAACAGGTGCACTCTGTGGCCTAGAGGACGGGCAGGTCAGGGGAGCCTGTGTGGGGACAGGGATAGGACAAACCTGGACTTTCCATACTGTGGCACGCTGGCAGTCTGGGCAGCTGGCAAGCCTCTCCAAGCTTAGGTCCTGAACAAAGTGATGGGCACTGCTGTGTGTGGAGCCAGCCAGCCATGCCCAGGGCCTGGAGTGAAGGTCAATTAGAGGGTTAATGATGCCCAGTACTGCCCAGTGGCATGGTAGACAGGAGTCCAGCAGAGGGAGAGGTATTAATAACTTGTGGTGAGGGCCCTGCTGTGGGAATGTCCTCTCAGATGGGACAAACACTCCACAGAGGAGCAACCCCCCTCACTGTCTCCTTGGCACTCTTCCGAGACAAAGTCAGAATGACTTTAAAAACTGGTTTTCCAGAGTTCCAGGTGAGTCAAGCCCACTTTAGGGAACTCAAAGGAAATGGTGGCGCTGGGCTCAGGGAAACGTCTGTGTCCTTGTCTTAAATCTGTCCCTGACTCTACGTCCTGTTCTACTGCATAGAGAAACTGAGGCCCAGAAGGCTTCGGTGACCTGCCCAAGGTCACACAGCAGCCGTATCAGTTCATCATAAAAAGTAACACAAATAGCATAGCTCTGCTCTGGAGAAACAAAGCAATCGTGTCAGGAGTGGGCACCCAGCAGCTCTGCCTGCCTCTCCCTGACTAGAGATGGATATTTCCAGAAGAAAGGCAGCGTGGCAGGAGTCAGGACTAGACCCTGAGCCCAGAAACTCGTATTTGCGTGGGTTGCTTGATAGTTTTAATAATTAAATTCAAAAGGTGCAACGTAGTTATTTAAAATCTCCCTCTTATCCTTGATTCGTGGAATCAGGCCACGGCCAGTTCCTCATGAAGATTACTTCAGAGGCAATACACACCTATGTGCCATTTTGTTTTAGGGCCCACGGGTGGCACACCCAGAACACCCCCTTCTTCATATAATTTCTGTCTTCCTTTTTTTTTTTTTTTTTTTGCCGGAGAAGTGTGCTGCCGGGAGTCACCTGTACCGGGACAGCAGTAAAGACCAAGAGACAGAAAGCCGGGGACCACGGGCAGCCCACCCGGTGGGGGCAGCAGCTTCTGCCTCTTGCCTTCCTTGGGAGGACTTGGTGGTGCCATGGTGGTACTGCGCAGCACCGACAAGGCGAACGGCGGCGGGGTCGGCGTGCCGCTGGAGCCCTTCCTGCACCAGGTCGGGGGCCACCTGAGTATGCTGCAGTACGACGCGCACACAGTATGCAAGCCCCTCGTCTCCCAAGAGCAGAAGTTCTACGAGTCCCTACCCCTGGCCATGAGGTGCTTCACTCCACAGTACAAAGGTGAGTGGCGGGGCCCAGGCTCAGCTGCACTCGGCGGCAGCGCTGCTGTCACTGGGTATGGGCTGCAAGCCTGTGTGGCAACAGTCCTCTTCCCAGCAGCCAGTGTCCCCGCGCTAGGGTGTCTCTGAATTCCTCCAAGCCTCCAAATCATGAGTGTTCATGGCTTGGGAGACAGGTCAAGCTACTCGGCTTCAAAGAATTGGGAATAGTATCAAGAGATGCCCAGTCCCACTGGGTCCTGATGGGATATTCTACTCTGCTCTTTGGGAGCGGTATGGGTGTGGCTGTGGTTAAACATAGGACCAAGGGAGGTCTCCTTGGTCTCCCTATGGAGAACCAGGCCAGACAGGACATGGGGAATCAGGGACATGACTTGGTTAGGAGTCCACAGAGTTCCCACTCCATACAGGCATCGCAAAGGCCAGGCTGCCTTCCAGTATGTGCAGCTGGGAAAACTGACATGGGCAGTGTGCGTCCTGGAGCCAAGCACAAGGTGCTTGTGGGAAGAAAGAGCTCAGTAGAAGGGCTGTGCCTGTTGGCTTTCTTGTCTGGTACCCCTGCCCAGATCCAAGGGTAGGAGTTTGGTCTCTACTCAGGGGTTGGTAAATGAGGTCCTGTGGCTTTGACTGCCAGGTGATCCTCCCCCACCAACCAGGACATGCCCCTCTAAAGAATCTTAGTTTTTCATGACGGAGGGCTGCTGCCCTGTTTCTGAAGTGTCTGCAAGGACAGCAATTATGACACTCAAATAAGCCCATCAGAAACCCACTGTGGGGACTGGGGACATGCCTCAATCTTCCGAAAAGGACTTGCCTAATATGTATGAAAACCTGGTCTCCATCCCCAGCAATGCACCAGCTCGAGCATAGTGGCACATGCCTGTAACACTCTTTCTCAGGAGGTGGAGGCAGGAGGACCAGAAGTTCAAGGTCACTCTTGGCTATGCAGCAAGTTCAAGGTTCAGAAAATAAACCTGTTGCATTCCAGGGCTCGGGACAACTGGGAAGGCCAGATGCATCCGCACTGGTGTTCCCAAGCATGGGCTTCATCAGGGCTCCTGGGTTCCATTCCAGACCTGCCAAGCAGGACCCAGGCAGGAGTCAGGACCAGGCGCCACTTGATCATGAACCTGAATGGGAAGGTCTGGTAGGCGCGACCAGACCACAGGCCTGGATGTGACTTCTGAGCCTTGTTTCACACTGGGTCTCTGTGATGAGATGGCTCACCTGCTCATCCTGGGAGCCAGAAGAGGACAGTGGGCCACCTGTGGGGCCTCCACTCTTGCCTGCCCCGGCCTTCCCCACGGTCTCCCAAGGCCACAGGCCAGCGCTGTCTCTGCTGGCTCCGGGTCACTGCGTACTTTGTGAGAGCACCCACTGGAATTAATATCTGTCCTTCTGTAACACAGCATAGGGCAGCAGGTCCTAGCGTGAGGTGGACCCCTGCCAGCGGCATTTCATGCTTGCTCAGCAAAGCTCTGGAGCTGAGAAAGACTGTGGGGGTCTGCCACAGGCAAAGGGAGAGACTGTTCGGGTCTTTAGGAGACCCCCACCTCACCATGACTCTTTGTCCTGTCAACACAGGCCTTTGGTGGGGATGACAGGGTGCTCTCGGGTACTAGACACCTATCCAGACCTCTGCTTTCTGGGGATACCTCTTTGGGGCTCTAACTAATTACAAGATGCTCCCTGCTTAGAAAAGGGCTACAACCCCAAATAATCATTGTAAGTTAAAAATATCATAAATGAAAAATGCATTTAATAGACAGAACCTACCTCATATCCTAGCTTAGCATGTGGTGTGCCACAGGAGCAACTGGGAGTGACAGCCTCTGCCCGGCATCCTGAGAGGCCTGTGTCATGTATCACTAGTCCAGGAAAAGATCAAAACTGAAAAATCAAAGGATATTTTCTCTTGGATACATTTCACTCACACCATTATGAAGTGGGAAACTTGTAGGTCAGACTACCCTGTACTGAGGGCTCCCTGCACCTCGAGCCAAAGGTTGTAGCTAAATGATGACCCGCGCTGCAGGGTCTTGGTCAGCCTTGCCTTTGGGGTGTCTTACAGAGGGTGTTTCTAAACCCAGTGGGGGTTAGCTGGAGCAGAGGACCTCCTGACTCCCTGGGATAACGGATGACTACCAGCCGGCCTAAGAGAGGGCTTGGGTGGCACCCCAATGCCAGGCTTTGATGAAGCAGAAATACTGACTCACTCTCTGGCCATGTGAGGAGACCCTAGAGCATGCCCAGGGGGGGACACTTGGTTCATTCTTGGGTACCTGCAGCAGAGCTGGGAAGTAATGGAGGTGGCTGGTTTTAACCAGTAAGAGGAGTGGTAGCAGCTAGTCCATCATGCTTGCTCTGGGCTGTTGCAAGAGGATTCCATACCCTGGTTTACATAAACCTCATATCCCCAGAGACACAGAGGAGGAAAGCCAGCTTGCCCGAGGCCATGAGAGGCCGGGCCAGGATTTGAAGCCCTGATGTCTAGCTCTAGAGGGTGGGTTCTTGGCCCCATTACCCACTCCACTCAGCTACCTGAAGTGCCAATTTCAGGGCCCATCTCTCCCCAGGAGGGAGGAGACAGTCTCGCTCAGAAGCACTCAGCCAGAACATCCTGTCAGTAGAATAGATAACCTCTGCTCCTCCACAGGAATAGCTTTCTCAGGGAGGAGGGGCCATTTCTGAAGTGGCTGCTACATGCCATGGAGCCACCCTACTATGCCTTCCCCCCACAATGGCATCAGGAGAATTTCGGCTAGGGTGGCATTCTAAAAGGCAGTGCTGAGTACCAGCAGCTCGCTCTAGATCTTAGCTGGGTTGGCTGCTTTGCCATCTTGGGGCTGTGTCCCTTGCCTCTCAGGCGGCCTGTGGGCCTTGGGTGAATGAGGACAGGCACTTGGGTTCAGTTGGCGGAGGCTTTGGCCAGATTCATATTACAGATGGCGGCGGTGAATGTTCTCATAAGCTTAAAAATAAACCCACAATGCAATATCCGCCAAGACTCGGGGAGCTGCTTGGTCAAACCAAAACTGCTGAGGTGCTCCGGGCATGCCAATCGTGGCAATAAGCACTCTGTGGGCCCAGCTGGCAGACTCTCAGGCTGAGGTACATGAGATGAGCTGTGGCAGGCCCCGAGGCTCCCAGTCGGGCCTCAGCAGCAGATCTCAGGCCTCTGGGGTCTGAGGCCCATCATCACAGTGGCTCCTGACCCTATCTATACACAACCCAAGCACCAGAGAGTCTGGGTTCCCCTGGGTCAAGGGCAGGCAGCCCGGCACTGTTCACAAGGGAGATCTCAGCGGGTCAGCTCCGGGGAAGTGCTGTGCTGGGAGAGGGGGAGAGGGGGAGGGCACAGGGCCTGGAAGGCACCCGGACAGTGACCCCATCAGAGGCAGAGGCTGAGTGGCAGGGACGCTGCGCCGGTGGTGAGTCCCTGACAATATGAGAAATGGAAATGACTTTTGGGTTTTATTAGTCGGGGGTTATTTGCACCTCCACTCGCTGGCATTTATGCAGGCACTCCGAGCAGATGAGATCAGACAAGAATGAAGCCTGCAGCGGTGGGGAAGGTCACATTTCTTGTCTCTCTGGGGAGGCCTCTTGGGCACAAGCTGCCAAGAACTGTGTTTTCTGGCAGGCATGTCACCATAGGCCCTCAAGTAGAAAAGGCCGGGGCTGTCGGATGGGAGCATGAACTTAAAGAGACCCCAGAGGACATTGCTCTTGGCTGGTGGGGCTTCCTGGACCCACTAAGCAGCTAGAAGGGCACAAACTCCCTCTAGGACGGGCACAGGGCAGCTAGTGCTTTCTATTAGTCACAGAGGCTTCATGTTGAGATCTGGAAGGTTCTCCTCCCCAGAACAAACACAGCAACCTCTTGCTGAGGACTCAGAGCTGGAAATGCAAAGCTCGTGCCCTCTGTGATGGTACTGCTCCCTGAAGGTCCAGAGAGCAGACCGGCCAGAGCTGTTTCTGGGAACACTGCAGGGGTGTCCCTCGTACATGCGTAGGTAAACACAGCCCGACTCTCTATCACTCCGTGGACTCCTGAGCAATGTGTTATGACATGTCCCTTCAGCGCCCACCTGTTAGGTGGCTGTATGACCTTGGCTCAGACTCCGTGACCCCTGCTGCACCACCAACAGCCTACGTATGTGCTGTAATTTAGAAATCACAAGTGAAAAGTGAACGGTGCCAGTCCTGGGCCACATATAGTGAGAGAGATGAGGAAATGTCCCCAGCCGGCCATTCTCAGGCACAGGACGAGTGAGCGTGACAGGCGTGATTCAGGATGAATACTGATGTTAGGTAAACACCGACGCCAACAGCATTATTACTATTGCTGAGGTGTCTAAAGGACGTAGGGGCCTGGGCGGGGTGGAGGAGGAGCAGTGTTTTCAGGAGTCTAAGAGAACTGCATGTCCCTCCCAGGCTGCAGAATTAGGCCACTAGGAATCTGAGATGACAGGACTGGCCTGGGAGTCCACTGGGCTAGTATGGATGGCTCTGGAGAGCCACGTGCTGAACTGCTGTGGCCCTGGGAAAGAGGGTCCACAATGACAGCCCCCAGGGGCTGCGCAGGGATGCAGGCAGGAAAATCGGCAACCTCCCTTGCCTTCTCGGCCAAATATTCACCTTGCCACTCATACTGGGGAGGTGACCAAGGGGCCTGGGAAGAATGAAGAATATATAGAAACGCAAAACCCCACCTCCTCTCCATCTCAGTCAGTAGGAAACAAACCATGTTCGAGAGAGTTTTTAAAGGGACTATGCAGAAATTCATGCAGGCTTGAGGGCGCACTGAAAACTAGACCCTGCAGGCATGCGGGGCGGGAGGGAGGAGGAGACCCCCTGACCCACCCACAGATACATGGGGGGCACAGGTGGCTGAATGAGTACCTTCCTTTCCTTACCCTCCCAGCCCTGCCAGCACCCCGCTGGCCAGAGCCACTGGGAAGCAGAGCACAGGAAGCCATCAGGGCACTGCCTACGGTCAGCTCCTCAGCACCAAGCAGGTGGAGAAGCTGAGGAGTGGTGAGGACAGAAACAGGCGGAGGACAGGGCCACCTGATGCCCTGTTCTCAAAGAACTGGAGGCTAAGTCTGTGGCGTGGTACCAGGGCAAGCCCAGGTACCGCTGGATGCCAAGCCCCACAGAGGGAGACCGGCCTCCTCCACTATGACAAGGACTCTACAAGGTGACCACGCAGTGCGAATGCCCAGCACAGATAGCTTTCTGTCCCACCAGAGTGTCTGCGGAGAATACAGAGCATGTGGTAGATAAGCTTTGGGGAGGTCCTTGCCTACATGGCCGGTAGTTTTCCTGCCGTGATTGCCAGCTGTGGTGGCAAGAGATACCACATGTGAGGGAAACCTCAAAGACTCTGGAGTTTTCTCTGAGAACCACATGTACCCCCTATCTCCATATGCTGATGGATACAGCCAAAGATGATGGCTGGGCACCAGTGGGAAAGGCAGGGGACAAGGCTCTGTCTGATGGGGGACAGAGTCCCAAGTCCAGCCCTGCCTCGGGAAGGCTTCCTGGGAGAAACTGGTTGGATAAAGACGAATGGGGAGAAAGAGATGGCTGAGGGGGCAAAGAGGAATGGGAAGGGGATGGGCCAGGCTTCTGTTAATGGGCGCCCCCTGGAGGTGGGGAGGACCAGCTCTGAGGTATCCCAGGTTGGCCACGGATGGGTTGGTCCCGGTGTAACTGGGAAGGTGTGGGCAACCATGCAGGCAGGAATCCAATTCTAGAACAATATAGCAACGTGTGAGAAGTGAGATAGAGAAGAGCACAATCCTAGGTCACCCCGAGGCTACTTTCTGCAAGCTCCAGGGGGTTGGTAGGGAGGTGGGGGGAGATATATTCAGGACAGTAGTCTTGACTCTTTCTTGAGAGAGGAACTAGGGAGAGAAGGAGGCTGCCCAGGGCCACTAAACTCAACAGCTATGACCCACAACACATGACCTGGTGTGTTCTTTCCCTCCTTCCCATGTCCCGCAGGAACCGTCACAGTGCGTCTCCGGAGAGACAGCAGAGGTCATCTTGGCCTGGTGGCCAACCCACTGAAGGAGAACCTGGAGCCTCTGCAGGTCTCCCCAGATTCCAGAGCGGTAGCCATCTGGCAGACACTTCAGCAGACAGCCAGCAGTGATAGCAGCCCCCGTCCCCTGGCCCAGCTGGCACGCTCACTCAAGGAAAGGTGAGGGCCACTGAGCAGGTGACAGAAAGTTGGGTGTTCGTCCCTCAGCAGGTACCACACTGCCCCCAAGGCCAAATGCTCCATGTGAGGGTTGGTGTCAAGAAAATGAGAAATCAAATCGAAATGAAGGGTTAGTCTAGAACAACCAATGTTGCAAAGAAACGGGGGGTGGGGGGATTGTCTCTTCTGCCCTTTCTTGGGGGTGGATGGGCATGTGTTCTAGCTCACGGGCTGACACACAGGCAGGGCCTGTGTCCAGAGCTTGTTTAATTAAATACCTGCTTCACTGAGACCACACAGGTCTCTGGGGGAGAGTATGCCACCGGAAACTTGGAATAGTTTATAGAGAGGAAGTGTGCCTAATTTCTCTTGAAAGTCAGCTTTTAGCAGACTGTGGGGGAAGAGATGAGGAGAGTGAGTCCCAGGAGACAAAAGAGGCCCCCAAGGGTCTCAGGACCTCAGAGAGATCTTGGGAGCCTCTGATAATGTCAGCTGACCTTTCTCAGGGTCCCGGGGGGCTTTAAAACATTTATAGGAAACAAAAGGGATCAGACACAGTGACAACCATGCTCTTCCCCAAGGAGCCACAGATCTAATTAAGCTCTTGGCTCAGAGGCAGGGCTATGTCGTCACAGCTGGGGCCAAAACGCAGCGGGGACACGCTCCTGCTCCATATGTATGGCGTTGTGAGATCTCAAGGTCGTAACCTCATACCAGGGCATGAATCCAGACCCCCAACCTTGAGATCCTAGGTGGGGTCGCCATCCCTTTCCTTCATCACTTTGATCCCAAGAATGGACCTAAATTGCTCTAGCCCTCTGAGGGCGGCACACCTAAGAAAAACCCCCAAGAGGACCTGGGCCTGGCGTGATCTAGTGTCAGGTACCCAGTTTGGGCAGGGAGGCTCTTGGGACCCTGCGGTGTCTCTGGTGGTTTGGTGAGAGAGTCCTATGCAGCAGTCTGGGTGGCCTTTGACAGAGGCCATGCCAGAGAACCCAAGCAGTGAGCCACAGGCATCCTTCTGTGGCTGTCTTCAAGTGCTTTTCTCACCACAGCACAGCCAAGGTGCTTCTGAGCTCCGACTGCCACCTCGGTACCCAGGCCTCCCCGCTGGTGGAAAGTGCGGATGGGAGCCAGGTGGAGAGAAGGGGCTTTAACCCGTGGGGCCTGCACTGTCACCAGGCCCACCTGACCCGCCTGTGCACTGAGTACCCGGAGGACAAGCGGCACCGTATCCTTACCGCCCTTCATCTGCACACAGTCCCTAGGGCAGGTGTAACAGATGGACAGACAGCGCATGCGCGTGGGGACACACACACACACACACACACACACACACACACACACACACACACAGGCACAAGGAGACAGGTGGGGTGGGGAGGGAGAAACAGATGTGCGGTAAGTTGAGGGTATGAACCCACAAGCCCAGGGTCTGAACCCACAAGCCTGGGGTCTAGAAGAAATCAGATCCGTTCAAAAGAAGACGCAGAGAAAGTGGGGACATCCATCCAGTGGCTAGGCTGGGCCCTGGCGTCATGTCTCTGGCACTTCAGCAGTATAGGAGAGATGGGGCAGGGTTGGTGGGGAGAAGGTAATGCTAGCTAGGTGGGGACAGGAAGAAGTCTCTGTGTCCCACCCCCATTCCAACATCTCTTCTGTCACTTCACTTTCTACCTGCAGCCCAAGAACTGTGGAGGGGCCAGCCCCCTCCCCCCACGCCGCCATGTAGTTTAGGCCCCTCCGCCCCCCAGAACTTGCTGTAAACATCAACTGCTCTTGCAGTATTTACTATGACACATCTGCCTCCCTAATCCCTAAGAAGCTTTGGAAGGATAATTACTCCGCTGAAATTAATATTCCTGCAACTTGTCTCCGAGGCGAACATCAACCCCCTTGTCCCAGAAGGTGCCGGCCCGTTCAGCGGCCCAGAGGTCTCAGCCCTATGATTTTTCTGCCATAAAATGTAAATTGGGCATGGCCTGCCAGGAATTTCATGCCTGCATTTAAATTTCAACCTCTGAGCAAAATGGGAAAAGGTTCTCATAAACTCCCCCTAAATAAATGGACTTATTAAAGCAGACTGCCAGTGAATATCTTGCATTCTTAATAGCCAGGTTCCTGGGTAAGGCTGGAAAGGGGAGGGAGCAGCGAACAGGAACCTCAGGTACTCCGACTGATGACCCCAGAGCTTTCCTTGACTTAGTGCCTCCAGGGTTCTTGCTCTTGGAAAATGTGGTGTCACAATACAAGCAGCCCTGCATCTTGGATCTAAAGATGGGGACCCGGCAGCACGGGGACGATGCATCTGAGGAGAAGAAGGCCCGTCACATGAAGAAGTGTGCGCAGAGTACTTCAGCCTGCCTGGGTGTGCGCATCTGTGGCATGCAGGTAGGTAGGTGCGGAGGGCTGGCTGCGAGGGTCGGAGGCTGGCATCCTGGCAGGCCTGGATGCCTGTCACCCACACCTCTCCCTCCCTGCAGAGCCCATTACCTTAAGGAAGCAACAGAGAAGGCTGGAGGGAGCTCTCCAAGCAAGGAAGCCTCCGGTCTGATGGTCTGAAATGCTGGGTGCTTGTTGTGGTGTTTTGTTTGAGGCAGGCTCTCAGGGAGCCCAGGTTGATTTTACACTCCTTATGTAGCCGAGGCTGACCTTGAATCCCTGATCCTCCTGCCTCCACCTCTGGAGTGTTAAGATTACAGGAGTTAAGTTGTTTTGTTTTGTGGTGCTGGGCTGGAACCCAGAGCCTCGGCAGGAGAGGCAAGGACTCTACCACTGCCTTGCATTCCCAACCCCCACACTGGCTTTTTTTTTTGGATTTTTCGAGACAGGGTTTCTCTGTGTAGCTTTGCGCCTTTCCTGGAACTCACTTGGTAGTCCAGGCTGGCCTTGAACTCACAGAGATCCTCCTGGCTCTGCCTCCCGAGTGCTGGGATTAAAGGCGTGCGCCACCACCGCCCGGCCACACTGGCTTTTTAAAGAGCACCACTGAGGACAGTCCAAAACTCAATCTCACCATTTGGGGCAGCTAAAACTTCGTGCGATGGTCCTGTGGATCCTACCCGTATTGGGAGGGTCAGTGTGTGGGTAGGGGTCGGAGAAGAGCTGAGAAAATACACCTGGTGGCTTACTGATCCCACAGGCGTGATAGAACTGAGCCCTGTCTCCTTCGGATGGGGTGCAGCAACCCGTTCTTTTGAATTCTCATTAGCTATCTCTCATCTGCTGCTTGGTTGGGTTAACCAAGTGGGAAGGTCAGAAGCCACTGAACCCAGTCAGAGGGGCGGCTTGTTCCCTTGCTGCCTGGGTCCCAAACCTCTGTACTTAAGAAGCTGTGGAAGGACTGCAGGAAGAGAGGCAGGAATCTACCCCATCCACCAGGCTCTGTTTTGACGGCAAACGTTATCGCTTTCCTTAATCGAAGCTGCCACCCCTTGGAGCTGGAAGTTGAGTCCATAAATTCATTGCACAGATGTCCCTGGGAAGGCTGGGAATGCAGTCCTCGGAGGACAGGGCGGGATGATTTGTGGAGTAAATGGAGTCTCTGCCGACCTCCAACCTTCTGCAAGTGACCTGATTTATCTGGAGAGTGATGCCTGTCACGTGCTTAGGAAGGCTGATTTAGCAGCTGATCTCCGGTCTCCCAAAAGCCTATTATAGCTTTCTGATTAAAAACAAACAAACGAAAAACCACATTATGTAACATGAAGGCAAGACAGGCCTCAAACAGTTAGCCAGGCACAGGCGGCCATGCCCACGTGTGCCAAGTCCCCACTGGCTGTTTAGCTGCAGGCTTTGACTCAGTCTCCACTGCCCCCTGAGCTGTCTGATGGACTGGGTGTGGCCACCATGGTGTCCTTCTGATGGCCAAGGCGTGGCAAGGGCAGGAAATTGAGACTGTGAAGAAAAGAACCGTTCACTGCACAGGGAGGCTATGGACCTCTTTCCACTTCCCACGCTTCCGGCAGCTGCCTGCAGGCCCCACCTACACCTGATCTAGCCCATTTCTTTGCCTCAGCAATTCACCTGGACTGTTTGGAAGAGCCATTCCTGCGTACTTAAAATCTGTGAGAAAGGACTCAGTAACTTTGTTAGGGAAAACTTCATCGAACTGGCTCTCTGAGTCCATTGGCCCGGTTTCAGGTTCCTACTGCAGCATTCCAGCTTGAGTTTGCTAATATCTGAATTGAAGACGGCCAGAAGCCAAGATTTAAATCACGACTTGGAAGTTGACATCGGAAATTCACAGGAAAGGCGATCCAAACCTCTCGGAGTGGTGTGCTGAGGGTCACCTCTGCGGGTGAAGGATCTTTGGGCCTTGGGTTGAGACCAGACCTGCAAAGAGAATACTTTAAAATGCCACACTGGAGCATGCTGGAAGACCACCTCTTGTGCTTCTCAACCACTCTTCCCCAAATCTCCTGGAAATCACCTCATATACTATGGGAACTTGTGATGCTACCACTTTATCACAAGCAATTTTGATTTGCTTTGTTTTGAGATAGGGTCTCATGTAGCACAGGCTGGTCTTGAACTCACTCTGGGGCTGAGGATGACCTTGTGCTTCTGATTTTCCTGCCTCTATCTTTCATATTCTGGTTTTATAGGCTTGCAGCACCATGCCCGGTTTATACTGGGGATTGAACACCGATTTGATCTTGCTAGGCAAGCTCTCTATCAACTGAGCCACATCCCCAGCCCCCAGGGCACGCTTTTTTTTTTTTTTAAACGTTTACAAGCCTTCATATTTTCTCTCTCTTTTCCAATGTAAGGTTTATCAAACTGATAAGAAGAGTTTTCTCTGCAAAGATAAGTACTACGGAAGGAAGCTCTCGGAGGAGGGGTTCAAACAAGCCCTTTCTCAGTTTCTCCACGACGGAACCCGCCTGCGCACAGAGCTCCTGGAGCCCATCCTTCGCAGGCTGCAGGCACTGCTCGCGGTCATCAGGAGCCAGAGTTCTTACCGGTTCTACTCCAGCTCCCTCCTCATAATCTATGATGGGCAGGAGCCTCCTCAGAACGCTCCTGAGACCACCCAAGGCAGCCCCTCCGGTGACCCTGCCAAAGTCGATGTCCGAATGATTGACTTCGCTCACACGACGTACAAGGGTTCCTGGAATGAGCACATCACCCACGAGGGACCAGATCCTGGCTATATTTTTGGCCTGGAAAACCTCATCAGAATTCTGCAGGATATCCAAGAGAGAGAATGAAGGTTGCTGGAACTTTCTAGAATTTTCTAGGCTACATACAGATTTTGCAAAGGGACCCAAGCTAGCATAGCCTAGATCCCCTGTAGGTGTCTTTATAATAACCGTATCTACCTTCAAAAGCCATCTCCAAGCATGGCTAGCAATGTTGACAGTTGCTACAGAAATTTGCTCTGCAGGCATCCACCCGCCACCGGGCATCTTCCACGGGGCAGCTCCTCTGGGAGCAGACAGTGAAAGCCGCACCATTGTCGCCTGGGTCAGAGGCCAGCACTGCAGTGCTGCAGGGTGCCTGCATTCCAGAACATGTTTCTGTTGTCATGCTGCAGTCCTCCACAGCCATGAGGGAGAGAAAAAACAAAAAAAACAAAAAAAACAAAAAAAACAAAAAACCTCGTGGAAGAAGCCTTGAGGAATATTCTGCTTGTGTGAATGGGCCACCCCACAGGCAGACATAGCTAATGCCTGTCCTCTCCTATGGTGAGTTATAGGTGAGACAGGAGTAAGTGAACCCTTTTGTCCATCTTGCCCGCCTTGTACTGGCTGGGGTGCGGTGGGGTGCAGCTCGGGAGGAGGGTTTGTGCTTAGCATGCATGAGGCCCAGAGTCACAAAATAAGAATAACAATAATAATGAATGAATGAGTGGACAAGGAGAGGCCCAGGCAGACCCTGATACCCTGCTTGGCATGTGAGGGGAGGTGTCCCCACAGACTTCTGGGGGGTGGGGGCCACACTGTGACCACACGGTGACCCTGACCTGGAAATGCAGCTTCCAGTGGAGGTCGGGTGCACCGCCAGAGGAGCCAATCACCTTCGGCTCTCTTCTCCATTTCCATTTATTTATTTTGGGTGTGGGTAGGGGGAGTTGGAAGCAGAGAACCTAGAAGACCAGGAAACCCAGGGCGATGTTTACAAGAGTGGTGGATGCTAGTCTACAGGAAAGCAGAGCAAACAGGTCTAATGAATTCCTTCTTCTGCAGCATTGGAACTTATTACAATGCCCTGGAGCCCGCCGCCGCTATGCTATGCTCCCCAATTAGGGAAATAAATTTCTTAATAAAATTGCTGAGGTCACCAGTGATTACTGGAGCGCCTTAATACCCTATCTGTTTGTTTATTCTGGTCAGCGTGCTGTCCAGTACTTACAATTCATGAGAAACTGGGGTGTACGGCAAGAGCAGCTCACCAGCTACCCGAGGTCCCCCAGGAAATTTGGTAGCAATGGGACTGCTAAAATATTCACATTGGGTGGGGAGGAGGAGGGCTGAAGTTGGTAGCCTGCTTGCCTCGACCCCAAGAAGCCCTGAGTTCCATCCCCAAGACTGCACTGCACGGCAGTGGGTACATGCTTGTAATCCCTGCACTTGGGAGATGGAGGCAGGAGGATCAGGCGTCCAAAGTCATCTTTGGCTACAGAGTGAGCTTTAGGCCAGCTTCGACTATATGAGACCCTGAGTCAAGAAAAATAGCGAAATTGCACGTGTCTGCAAGCAGGCTCAGAAGGAAAGGGCCTGGAATTTGAAACCCCTCCAGCACAGAATTAAGGCACCATCAGGCTCTAAAGATAAGTGTGATGTTTCCAAAATCCACTCTGATGGAAGGGGAAGAGTAGCGTGGACAAGAACACTCCTGTTTAGTTGTGCAGTACAGTGGCGCACGCCTTTAATCCCAGCACTCTGAAGGCAGAGGAGGTGGATCTCTGTGAAGTCAAAGCCAGCCTAGGCTACAAAGTGAGTTCCAGGCCAGCCAAGGCTACCTAGTGAGTCTGCCTCAAAAAAGAAAGAAAAGGACATGGATTTCAAAGCAGATCAGCTTTCCAAATTACGCTCTGGCCAAGGTAATGATGTCATTAATTTGCATACTCTATGCCCTTGGCAAGAAAATGGAAGCCGTCCGGAAACAAAGTATTTGCCAATGGCAAATCAGATCCCTAGAGGCTGGGGTACCACATCAGCCAAGTCCACGGTTCTCCAAGCAGCTGCCACCTCCACCCTCTCCCAGCTGAGGGACTGGCCTGGGGCACTACTACACAATGCCCTCCTCTTTCTTACCAAGGGTTGTTTCCACTATGCCCTTCCTCCTCCTCTGTGTATGTTCAAGGCCCAGACCCAGTTCTGTTCTCAAAGACGACCCCAAAGAAATAGTTTATGGTGAAAAAGGAACAAAGCTGCCAGGCGGTGGTGGCGCACGCCCTTAATCCCAGCACTCAGGAGGCAGAGGCAGAGCCAGGCGGATCTCTGTGAGTTCGAGGCCAGCCTGGTCTCCAAAGCGAGTTCCAGGAAAGGCGCAAAGCTACACAGAGAAACCCTGTCTCGAAAAAAGGAAAAAAAAAAAAAAAGGAACAAAGCCAGGTTTAGTTTTAGGTAGTGTTACTGGACCCAGAGGGGTGTCTGTGGTCTGGAAATTCACCCTGGCTCTGCAGATTTCAAAACTCAGTGGACAGAGCCTGCCTGGCCCAGCTGGGGAAGGAGAGGAAGAAAGGGGGAGAAAAGATTAGGTGTGGCTGTACTTGGTGACTCAGTTTACTCAGAACTGACCCCAGGACTGAAGCACTTTAAGGAGCATGGCGACCAGCATCCCAAGCCACACACGTGAGACAGTACCCAGTGATGCCGTGGATTCATCTGCGTGGTGCAGAGGACTGGCCCTGTAACCCCTTTTATGTTAGAGAGGTTTATTGAGAGGATCTGCCTTAGTTGGGGTTTCTGTTGCTGTGATGGAACACGTAACCAAAAGCAACTTGGGGAAGCCAGGGTTTATTTGGCTTACACATCCAGGTTACAGTCCATCACTGTGGCAAGTCAGAGCAGGAACTCAAGCAGGACAGGAACCTGGAGGCAGGAGCTGATGCAGAGGCCATGGAGGGGAGCTGCTCACTGGCTTGTTCCTCACGGCTTCTTCAGCCTGCTTTCTTTCTCTCTTTCTTTCTTTCTTTCTTTCTTTCTTTCTTTCTTTCTTTCTTTCTTTCTTTCTTTCTTTCTTTCTTTCTTTCTTTCTTTTTTTTTGAGACAGGGTTTCTCTGTGTAGTTTTGGTGCCGTGCTGGATCTCGCTCTGTAGCCCAGGCTGGCCTTGAACTCACAGAGATCTGCCTGGCTCTGCCTCCCGAGTGCTGGGATTAAAGGCCCGGCTCAGCCTGCTTTCTTATAGCACCACTTAGGGTGTGCTGTGCCTTCCTACATCAATCATCAACCCCAAAACTGTAGACTTGCCCACAGGCCGATCTGGTGGAGGCATTTTCTCAACTGAGGTTCCCTCTTCCCAAATGACTCTAACTGTGACAAGCTGACATAAAACCAGCCAGCACAGAGTCTGTGGGAGGAGGCTGGCCCTCATCTGGGCCCTTCCGGGGGTGGAGGGCTGAGGAATTAGTTAGGGAGGTGGGGAGGGGCAGAGGAAAGGAAAAGCCCAACAGAGTCATACACTTATAGACAAACCAGCCGCTTCAGATGTGGCTCTGTGGTGGGGGGTGTCAAGAATAAAGTACAGAGAGCCAGGTGGTGGGGACACTTCAAAACCTGGCCCAGGGGCTCACTCAGTGTGATTTCATTAACTAGTCCTTCCCTTCTCTCCTGCTGCCAAACACTTACCAAATCCCTAGTCCATGCAGACCGTGCTGCCTGCAAAACAAGACCGTGTGAACGTCATCATAGTATCACCGAGAACTCAGTGAGTTCACCGGACAGTTGGGACCCCACAGAGACTCGTGCTGTGAGGGGGGACAGGGCCACCAGTGCAGATGTTGCCAGGAGTTGCAGAGGCAGTGAGGACCTCACCTCAGGGCGTGATCCTGGAGGCAGCAGCTAAGATGCACCTGGACAGAGAGTGAGGTCTGAGAGGGGCCGATCAGGGCAGGTTGTTCCATCAGGTGGATGGGCAGGCCTGAGATGGGGGAGCAGAGCCCAGAGCCCAAAGCTAACTCCCTTCCCCGCACACACCGTGGCTCTCTTCCGAGTTGAGAAACACACAGGTTCAAGTCAGAGTGGAGTGTAATTCCAATCAGGAGGGTAACTTTCAGTTGGGGCCAGCCAGCAGAGAGTCTCTGCGTGGTCATCCAGGACCCAGGCTCCTTAGTCTGAGGCGCCAAGGTCTTCCACTCACCGTCCAGACAGCTGCTATTGGCAGGTGCAAGGGAGGCAGTAAGAGGAAGGACACACCCACACCCCACGGACAAGAACTAGTCATGGGGGCCTGCCCAGATGCCAAGGAGCTGCCATGAGGCCGGGAGGAAGGAGGCTGAGTCACAGGCTCTACCCTGACTGCTCCATCAGGGTTTTCCAACTTGTATTTTTCCTCTCTTCTCCCCTCCACACACACCTCTTCCTCCTCCTCCTCCTCCTCCTCCTTCTCCTCCTCCTCCTCCTCCTCCTCCTTCTCCTCTCTTTTCTGGTCTGTGAATTCTGCTTTTTCATTCCTTATTTATGTTCTTTTAATGGATGCTTTGGTCCGTGTGTCTTCTCTCCAAATTCACTGGTTGAAACACGATCCCCAGCGCAATGGTTCTCAAAGGGTGGGGCCTTTAGTAAATGCTTAGCGCCCCTTTAAAGGACGGCAGCAGGGGTGAGGAGGTATCCCTGATGGGATGGCTCAGTGGGTAAGGGAGCTTGCTGTGCAAGTCTGGTGACCTGAGCGAAGCTGCAAGGAGAGAGCCTGCCTCTGCAAAGTTTTCCTTTGACTTCCATGTGTCTCATGGCATATTCCTCCATCACACATACACAGTGACAGGAAAGGCTGGTAGCGAGCCTAGAACCTCAGCATTTGGAGGGGAAAGGCAGGAGGACCAGAAGTTTTAGGTCATCCTCGGCTACACAGTGAGTTGGAGACCAGCCTAGAGGGGCTTGCTTGCCCTCCTCCCTGAGAACACCAACAGCATCAGCCCTCCTCCCTGAGAGCACACTCAGCATCATTCCCTCCTCCCTGGAAGCAAACCCAGCATCATTCCCTCCTCTCTGGGACCACACACAGCATCATTTATGAAGAACCAGCTCCACTAGACAGCATCTGATAGCACTTTTATCCAGCCTCTAGAATTATGAGCAATAAATTTCTATTTATGAGGAAATTTATCCAAAGAAGAAATGGATTTGATGAGCACCCAGCCCGTCTTTACAATGGCCTCTCTCTCCATTACCGTCATGTCGATATGATACTTGACATGAAGAAGGAGATGAAGGAGGATAAGCGGGGCATAAGGGAAGGCAGGGGCCTGGAGTACCTCTGGGCAGGTTCTAACTAGGCCCTTCCTCTGGCTAAATCCTCACAGGCAGTACACTGGCAGACATGGTTAGGGCCACCCACCTCATTCCTCTGTGAGACCCTAATGTGGTCCCAAAGACAGGCGGCCTGAAACTGCATTGCATGAATACCTCCCCTGGGAGCCATAAACTCTCTAAGGTCCCGACAAAAAACCAAGGTAAGATTCCACCAGAGTTCACCCTGGGAACCTAAGCGTTTTGGGGCTCACTTACAGAGCATGGTGAGGGGTTATAGTCGTGAGTGTGGGTAACCTCCAAGCAGCCACACTAGAAAGTGTTAACCCAGCATGGATGATGGAGTGCCCCTAGCCCTATACTCTAGCATCCCCTGACACCCTGAGGACATGCGCAATTAGGACAGAACTGTTTGCAACTGGCTGGTAGGAACAGGAGGGATCCTTGGAATCCCGGGTGAGAGCTCAGTGGCCCTCAACTCTCCTTCTCTAATCCAGACGATCTCTCGATCTCTCGGAAGCAGGCATGGCTTTTTGCAGGGAGGATCAAACTTTGCCATGAAGAGCAAACCTAGGTCACCCCAATTCACGGAGCAACCTGCTTCTCACCTGGCCTCTCCCCCCTCCTTCTCCACCTTCGGGGACAAGGGAGCAGGGCGGCCTCAGAGACAGTCATCCCCAGCCCTGTCCCTCTGCTGTCCCCTGGGTGATTAAAGAGGAGGTGGAGGAGTGGAATGTCATTACAGCTTTTTCATAATGCAATGTTGTCAGCGAGCCCTGGGCCTCTGGGCACGGCTCTGGCAGCCTCATTTCTCTTCCCGGCTGCGGAGGCTCCTAGGCTACTGGGGAAGGGCAGGCTGCAGTCTAATGAAAGGAACGTCCAGGCAAGATGGCTAGCTCATCAGCTGCTCTTCAGAATGA